CCCTCCTTTTTCCCTTCTTGCCCCTTTTCTCAAAGCGGCAGCTGTCATGAATTTTCTTGACTTTTTATTTTAACTTCATATGTACTTCCCCTAAAGCCTGTAGTTTTGCCTGATTTTCGCCTCTGGTCCTAAGTAGAAGCACCGTGGAGGAAACTTGATGTTGAATGAAGTTGGTGCTAAGTTGTAGAAGCTCTTAGTGTGAAGCCACTGTTAGTGCTTTGTATAGGGGTGTGGTATGGATTTTGTTCTAAGATGGTTATTTTGTAAGTTCCATGGCTAATGGATGGGAGTTGAGCCATGGCACATGGGCAGAACACATGGAGAGCTCTGTAATCTAGGTGGTAGCTCCAGTTGGTTGAAATCTCAAGATTATATGTTCGTTACATGAGAGTTCACATACTCACAGATAACACATTCCCTTGGGACCTTGTCCCTTCTCACTTGGCTTTGCTGTTCCACAGCCACAGCTATTTGCATCCTGCTTCCCTGAACTTCTGCCAGAAATCTTTCCTCTCAGCTCTGTAGTTCCCTCTTACTGCTCTTAGGTCTCTGCTCACTCACTGAGATCCCCTGACGTCTCCTACTAAGAAGTAACCCCGGTTGGTCATTGTCATTGTTTTCTACTTTACTTACTTAGCTTTGTTTTTTTTTATCCCTCTAATTACAATCTGAAGGGGCTGGAGCGATAGCACAGCAGGTAGGGCATTTGCCTTACATGCGGCCAACCTGGGTTCGATTCCTCCGCTCCTCTTGGAGAGCCCGGCAAGCTACTAACAGTATCTTGCTCGCATGGCAAAGCCTGGCAAGCTCCCCGTGACATATTTGATACGCCAAAAAATAGTAACAACCAGTCTCACGATGGAGACGTTACTGGTGCCCGCTTGAGAAAATCGATGAACGATGGGAAGAAAGTGCTACAGTGCTACAATCTGAAATCATATACTTATAATGTCTTTTCCCTACTTGAAATATAGAATCTGTGGTATCTGGGACTTTCTTCTGTTTTGTCTAATATTGTAAATCCCATTTCTTCCCCCACCAAAGCCCAGTGCCTTATACATAGTAGCTGCAAAATAAATATTTGTTGAAAAATTAATTGACCTGAGGTTGGGTAATAGGTCCTTTCATTCCTTTCAGCTGTCTCCCCAACATCTCAGCAGCTATAAACTGTTTTCAGAGCTCACAGTTAATATCCAAACTATTCCTACTGATGTACACAGGCCAAGGAATTTCAAAGAAGACCATCCACTACTCCCAACTCTACCTCCTTGGCAACCACGCTCTACTCTTACCTAGGTAGAAGCCCCTCATGGGGAATCTTGGGTCAAACCCTTTGAAAGCCAGCTTGAACAAAGGAAGGGCGTGCATATGCTGCCTGAACTCAGGTGCTACTTGTGCCCACGTGGCCGAGCACATGTGGTACCTGAGCATATGTCGCCTGCATCTCCTCTCTTGAAATATGGACTGGGCTTTCTCTGTCTTTTGGAGAAGCCCGTGCTCTTCCTCTCCAGCACATTACATTACTCTCCTTTCTCTCTCTTTCCCTTCTTCAAAAGCCTCCAAATAAGATGTTTTTTTACTTTACTGCTCACCTACTCCTGAAATTCTTTTCTGTGAGACAGGGCAAAGTACTTGGAAACTCTGGATAAGGCCTACGACTGGTTTTTGTTTTGTTTTTTTTCCCCTGCAAACAGCAATTTCTTGCTCTGGCCTGAGTCCACAGCTCCCGAGAAATCAGGTGGTAGGGGTTAACTCCTGTGCAGAAGACGAGAAGTCAGGTGTGGCTTGATGGCCACCTCACGGGGCTGGCAGGACTCTTCACAGATTTTATCAGTCCTAGCCTCCCCAGTAGGTCCTGGGGTGACAGAGGCGGATTGGGAGAAAGTGACCGTCTCTCTCTTCTCTGCCTCACATAAGGCACCCATGGGGATCCACCGACTTCACTGTTAGACATTTCACTGTCCTGCTGTCATCTCAGAGTCGTTATTTCTAAAATTAAAACTTGTCTTTCTTTTAGTCTGACACTTTTGTTTAAATACTACTGTCACTGACACTCTCAAGGCTCCAAACCTTGGTGTTCTCTTGCAGTGTTAACCCAGACTTGACGCCTAGGGTATTTTCTGTGCCTGTTTATGACTTTGGAGATGTCACTGGCTATTTTAGCTTCTGCTTTCTGTTACTGACATTTAAGCTTGCCCTGAAGAGTCTACCTGAATCCTTCACTCCAGGATGAGTTTTCCATCCCTAGACTCCTTTAGTACTCAGTTTTTAACCTCCCTTCTGTATTCTTTCTTTCCTTTTGTCAGAAAGTCCTGGGCTTGCCACTTTGTTGTATGACAGATAAGGCAGCTGGCAGCAACAATGCCATCAATATGATTTTATTTCCTCTCTCTTTTATTCTCAGGGCTGGGTTCTCTCTAAGCCTATGGAGACTTGCAGTTTGAACAAGTGAGAAATCTAAAAGTTTCAAATAATCGCTAGTCTAGTATAAAAGCAATGGAGTCTTAGCTGATGATGTTCTATTTGTTATATTTGTTCAATTATTCTCTAAAGTGAAAACAGTTCTTTATAACTACTAGAAATTTGAGAAGCATGTTGTAAGATAAATTTGATTGGTTAGATGGATCACATATGTATTGGTTGCCAATTATATTGCAGTAAACATAGATGTTACAAGGTAGTTTTTGCTTGTGATGGGTCTGCGTTTGGTTCTAAGATGTAGCAGATAAGGCAGTTGTTTATCACTAACTTTAGAAAAAGATGGTTAGTGTTAAATTATAAAGTAGATACAGAACATGTTGGAGTGTTTAGAGGGAAGTGCCAAACTCTCAAGGAAGATTGGCAGTGATAGGATTATTTCAGAAAGGAGGAAATGATGTAGGAAAGTCTCAACAGCTGAGCAGTTCATCAGGTGAACAAGGGCATTAATTTTTAGGTGTAGAGAATTCATGGAAACAAAATGAAACTGTCTGAACCCATATCTAGCTGCAGTGAGGTGGAGTCCAAGTTAGCCCAGGATCGCTAAGAGAGTCCAGTTAGCACTGTTCTAAAGTAGCGTAATGTAGACACACTTAGCACAGTGACCAAGAGTGGTCTCCACCACAGGCTGCCCAGCTTCAGATTTCAGTTCTGTGCCTACAGACTTGGGAACTTGGACAATTTACTTAACCTTTTGGGGCTTGGTAGGTACTTCTATGGCCTGGTACTGTATACACTTGAAAATTAAATGAGATAAAATGCATAAAGGGCTGATGCCAATATCTGTATATGGTAGGTGCTCAATAAAGCTTTGATTGTCTATTTACTTTTGCCTTTTCACATCTGCACAGTGCAGGGGTAGGCAAACTACTATTTATGGGCCAGAGACCATGTCCAACCCCTTGTCCCACATGTAGCACTGTAGCACTGTCCTCCCGTTGTTCATCGATTTGCTCGAGGGGGCACCAGTAACGTCTCACAACAAATTGTGAGACTTGTTGTTACTGTTTTTGGTATCAAATACATCACGAGTCGCTTGCCAGGCTTTGCCGTGCGGGCGAGATACTCTCGGTAGCTTGCCAGGCTCTCTGAGAGGGGTGGAAAAATTGAACCCGGATCGGCAGCGTTCAAGGCAAACGCCGTACCTGCTGTGCTATCGCTCCAGCCCATCCCACATGTAAATAAAGTTTTACCAGAAGACAAATTCAGCATGTTTGTTAAATAGAAACTGACTGTTTTTGCTCTTGAAGCCTGAGTTTAGTAGTTTTGACAAAGACCAAATAGTCCATATAATCTGAGTGAGGCACATGTGTTGGGTACACAAATGAAGGACCCCAGAGAACTGTAGTAAAGATAAATAATCTCTTAATGAAGTATTTTTAAAAATCAGAATGCAAAAGGAGAGAGAGAACAAAAGGGAATGCCCTGCCACAGAGGCAGGGTGGGATGGGGGGGGATGGGTGTGGGAGGGATTACTGGGATCCATGGTGGTGGAAAATGGGCACTGGTGGAGGGATGGGTATTTGATCATTGTATAATTGAAACTCAAGCACAAAAATTTGTAAATCTACAACTGTACCTCATGGTGTTTAACTAATAAAAATTAAAAAAAATCAGAATGCAAAAAAAATCCTGATTTTCAAAATATCAAAGTTTTAGTAATAATAAGATCAGTATTGTTGATTTATTTAAAAAAATTAGACTCCCAGATGGCTAGACCTGTCACTAGGTAGAAGAGAACACATAAACTCGTACTTAAGCCACAGCAAATCTTAGACACGTATGCATTGTACATAAATAATGTATTTTTAAGATTCAAATAGCCATCTGATTGAGCCCATTAAATGATAAATACTAAGACTGATGTCAGAATTACTTTCATAAAAGTATAATTATGCAATTATTATGTTGAACTTGGCTTACAACAGTAATCTGTATATAATCTGTTGTATAAAATTACAGAATGAAAACTATTTCCATAAATTTTCAAGTGGTTCATTTGAAATGGTTTACTGAGAGCAGTGAAACAGAAGAGCAGTATTGGATAACTAAAAGTATTTGCCAAGAGATCTAAAAGGATCACCTGATTCCTGTAAGCTCCTTCTAAGAAAGGCCAGATAGGGATAGTAATTGCATTTTAATGCTTTCTGATAAACATTGACCTGGCAAGCTTTTTTAGACGACTAACTTTCTAATCTGCTTTGACATTTCTTCAGGGTGCTGCAAACAGTGATTTGTTGGTAGGTTTAAAAATATGTATGATTTGTTTGAGTGAATAAGGCTCAGAAATACTCTGTAGAATTCTCTTAAAGCAAAATGGAGTTTCACCTGTAAACAATAAATAAGTGTGGAGGAATGGACAAAATGACCTTTATATTTCTTAGATCATGTTGAATGAAACATGTAGGACTTTGATATTTCAATGATATGAATTAGTTGGTCTTAACTGGCTATGAAAAGATAAGATGTAATATTGAACTTGATGCTGTTTTACTTTCTAAATGACTCTTTATAATTTTTAGGTATATAGTGTTGACTGGAGTCAAACCAGAGGTGAACAGCTTGTGGTGTCTGGTTCTTGGGATCAAACTGTGAAACTGGTATGTTAGCATTACTGTATTGGAAAGCAGAGTCACTTGTTCAAGGCTTCCACTAATATCTTTTCTAGAACATACTTCAGCAGTGTCTCAGTTGATGGCTAATTTTCTTTCCAGAGGAAGATACTGAAACATTTGATGAAATTAAAAATTTTCTAATCTTTGGGCTGTAAACTAATGATTAGCTAAGCATTTTGGGGTTTTTTTTTGGGGGGGGTCACTTATATGCTATCTTGCTTTAAAAATTCTCAGAGAGAGAACATCTTTCTTGTAGAAGACCCGGGTTTAATCCCTGCCACTCCCCCAAAATCCACCCAACCTAAAAAAACCTTAAAGAGTTAAAAAAACAATTCTTGAGAGATATATTTACTGTGTGTGTATGTAATTACCTATGTGCATTTATGTGTATATAGTTACTGGATATCTAAAAGTGTATCAGTTTGGGTTTACAGCTAAATAATCGATCTCTTCATTTATTTGTAGTGGGATCCAACTGTCGGGAAGTCTCTGTGCACCTTTCGAGGTCATGAAAGTGTCGTTTACAGTACTATCTGGTCCCCGCATATCCCGGGGTGCTTTGCTTCAGCTTCAGGTAAGTAATTCTCTCTTAATCCAAAATTTACCTTCCTTAGAGGCCGTTTGTGAACCCAACTTTCCCCAGTAGGTGGTGCCATATAGCTTAGAATCTGAGTTGGTAAACTGGGCCTGTTGCACTGATCTTGGTGCTCGTTAGATTACTTCATTTTTTTCACCCCTTCCAGACATGAATTCGCCAGACCTTGATTACTTTTTTAGTGATTCTACCCATTTGATTAACCGAGTTTATTTTCTGGGAGGTAAGAAGCAGGGGACAGAAAAAACAAGGGCTTATTTGGTACCAGACTTGAATCTGAAAACCCTCTTCAGCTGCCTGTTTGTGAGGTCTGTGGTGATGTAATGAACTTCCTCATCAGCGAGGGTAAGACTGTTGCTGTGAAGATAAATTAATACAGATAAATGTCTAACATATGGGGCTAAGGGGTAATACAGAAGGTGGAGCGTTTTGCCTTGCACGCTGCCAACCCAGGTTCAATCCCCAGCATCCCATGTGGTCCTCCATGCACCTCCAGGAGTAATTCCTGAGTGCAGAGCCAGAAGTAACTCGTGAGCATTGCCGGATGTGACCCCAAAAGCAAAACAAACAAACAAAAATTATGTCTAGCATGTAGTCAACCACCTTTTCTTGGTATGTCTATGTACCTTTTGGAGTATATTCTTTGAATTCAATACTATTGAGACATAGCAGGTTTTTTCCCCACCCGTGTGATCTTTTCTCTGGTTACTTTTGATTTATATTGCTGGTTCTAAGGTTATTAGTTACATTGATATAGCTTATTTAATTTTTTTTTCCAGAGGAAGACCATCTTTTTATTTGTTTTTATTTTTATTTTCTGTTTTGGGAGTACTGGGAGATACCACTCTGTGCTCAGTGGCTGGGAGCTGCTCCTACAGAGTTCAGAAAATCGAACCCTGGCCTCCCTCATGTATGCGCACTAACCCCTTGAGCCATATTCCTATTCCTGTTATTATTTCTTTCCCCTCCTCCTCCTGCTCTGTGATTAGAAGGTAGAATTGTTCACTGCAAAGAAACACTGCATTGGGAGGCTTGTAGAGTAAATAATTCATGTGGTTAAGAATACGGACAGTCAGCTCTCAGTAATACTATAGTTTCTGCCACACCATGACTTTTTTATAATATGAATGAGATAGAACATAACTATTAATTAGCAAATACGGCTTGTCTCAGGCAGATCACAGCTAGTTATAAATATTTCAAAGTGGGAACCAGACTGACACTTTTAACTGTCTACTGAGCTTCTTTGTTTAAATAAGCTTGCCTTCGGTTTATTTATTAAACAAAGGTTACTAAGTCTGAGTAAGAATTATGAGAATATATAAAACTTGCTCATCATAAATATTTGTGATAAGGGACCAGGGTGATAGTACAGTAAGCAGAGCACTTGTTTTGCACGTTGTCAACCCAGGTTTATTCCCTGGTACTCCATATGGTACCCCCACCCCCCAAAGTCATACCAGGATTGATCCCTGAGCACAGAGCCAGGAGTAAGCCCTGAGCACCGTCTAGTATGGACCAAAAACAGAAACAAAGGAAAAAAACAGAAAAGAAAAAAAATTACGATGATTAAAAAGAACCATCACTTTGTCTTGCTTTCAGAGCTTTCAGAATACAAGAAGAAAACTTTTGTTATAAAGGAAAACTTTTGTTATGAAGAAAGAAAACAATTTAGAAAATCCCTGTTCTAATTATACACATAGTAAGGAAATTTATGTAACACAAAAACATGACTAATAAGAAGTGTAAGACTTGCTAGGTTCTCCTTTATAACCAGTCTAGCCCTATCTTTGCATTCCTTCATAAGGATTTTGCTTGTTTTGGAATATATCACTGTCCCTGTCACTGTCATCCTATTGTTTATCGATTTCCTTGAGTAGGCACCAGTAACGTCTCTATTCATCCTAGCCCTGAGATTTTAGCAAGTGCACATTGGAGGCTCTTTCAGAGTCAGCGGAATAAGACCCATCATTGTTACTGGGTTTTGGCATAACAAGTACGCCATGGGGAGTTTGCCAGACTCTGCCGTGCAGGCAGGATACTCTCTTGGTAGCCTGCCAGGTTCTCCAAGAGCAAGAACTGGGCAATAAGCTTGAACTAGACAAGCTTCTGGGAGTTTGGTTTTATAGTCTCTCTATCTTGGCCGTTGATGGGATTACACAGCGCCGGGGGCAGTTGTTGGGTGTAACTGTCTAGCTACAGGAAGATGGGGGTTCTGGGTGGAGGAGTTCCAGTCCCGATCCGAGCAGACTTGGAGATCTCAGCCCCGGGTCCTGCACACCGGGGTTCCTCTGCTGGTTCCTTCATGTGTGAGGCTTGTCCGAATGTGTGGAGAGCAGTCTTAAGCATGGCCGTGGCTGGGTTCTGGAGGTCTTCAGCTGCCGGGGCTCTGCTTGGGGCAGGGAGGGAAACTCAGCCCACCCCCATCCAAGGGGCCCCGGTGAGGGCAGCCAGGCACGGGGGCAGGAGACTCTTCCTGAGGCTTATCACTGTACCACTGTATCACTGTAATCCCGTTGTTCCCTGATTTACTCGAGCGGGTGCCAGTAACATCTCTATTCGTCCCAGCCCTGATATTTTAGCAGCCTCTCCGAACTCTTCTTTCCCAATGATTGGAGGCTCTTTCAGGGTCAGGGGAACTCCTCCACCCAGACCCGTTATAGTTACTGCTTTTGGCACATTGAACACACCACAGGGAACTTGCCAGGCTCTGTTCATGCAGGCAGGACACTCTCAGTAGCCTGCCAGGCTCTCCGAGAGGCATATATATGGTGTGTTAATTATGGAAAATGGGTAGAAAGTGTCTTATAATGTGTCGTGAGGCCGCATGGTCCAGAAAGCGGCCTGGAGCGTGGCAGCGGGTGGGTAGTGGAGGTTGGCTGCCAGGGCTGGCCCCTTGGGATGGGGAGGGCTCTCACCTGCCCCCCTCTGGGGCACCCTGAGTGAAAACAGCCTGGCGTGGAGTCCGGTGGCATGGTTAGGGGAGCCCCATTTTGTGCTCCCTTCCGAGAGAAGCAGCTGTGAGTTCTGGAGGGTGGCCGATGAGGAGATCATCTGGTGCCAGCAGGAAGTGGCATCTGGGTGTGACCCCTGGATCTGGAATATATGGTACAAAAAACACAGGCATTTGAATTATTTGATAGTGAAAACTTAGTTTTTTGCTCTATTTAAAGATTTCTGGTTTTTTTTTAGGTGCCAATAAAGAGTTGGCTTGGTGATAGTTGGAAAGCCTTGATTGGCAAAGAAAGAAAAAATATCCCAGACACAGAGAATTAGAGTGCTCAAAAGAACTTGTTGCATTTGAAAATCTGAAATTAGGCCAGATAGACTGTTTCTGGAGGAAAGGGTAGAAAAATTATGTTTAGGAGGGCTGAAGTGATAGTACAGTGGATATGGTTCTTGCCTCACATTGGCTAAGCTGGGTTTGATCACTGGCTCCAAATGGTACCTTGAGCCTTCCAGGAGTGATCCCTGAGTGCAGAGCCAGCCAGGAGTAAGCCTGAAGCACTGTCAGGTGTGGCCCTCAAACAAACCACAACAAAAAAAAATAAGCTCAGGAACTGGAGAGATAGTACAGGGTTTATGTACAGGGTTTATGTTTATGTACACTTGACTTACATGTGGCCATCTCAGAATCAACCCTTGGCACTGCATATCATTCCCAGGCACCACCAGGAATGATCCCTGACATACAACCAGGTTCAGTTCCTCATACTACATGGTCTCCATCATCTCTGGTTTAGCCCTGAAGGACCCCTGTACTGCTAAGGATGTACTTTATGTTTGCCTAAAGAATGTAGATTTCTGGGGCTGGAGCAATAGCACAGTGGGTATAGCGTTTGCCTTGCATGCAGCCAATCCAGGTTCGATTCTCAGCATCCCATGTACAGGAGTAATTCCTGAGTGCATGAGCCAGGAGTAATCCCTATGCATTGCTGGATGTGGCCAAAAAAAAAAAAAAAAAAACCCAAAAAAACAAACAAAAGAATGTAGATTTCCGGGGTGGGAGGAGGGAACTCTGAGAAAATTCTTTTTCTAGAAACTTTACTTGGCCTTCAACTGTCTTTGGTCTAGAATCACCTTCAGAATGAACTCAAACATGCTTCCATTATAGTAAATTGTAGATATGTCTTCTAATTAGAACACTTCCTAACAAGCTGGGATAAATAAAAAATGAAATTTTGCAAATTTGAAAATATTTGTGAAACTCCTGTGAACTGCTGATAGGAAAAAAAGGAAGAAAATTTCATTGCTTTACTACTATATATAATCTTGTAAATTTATACTGTTAGGGTTCAGAATTGTCTTTGTTTTTAATCATTTCTCTTTTTATGTCTGTGACCATATGTACAACCTGATATGACAAAGTCATGAACCAACTGCATTTATTTTGATGTCTTTCAGAATTGTGTATGTTAGTCATATATATGACTCATCTGAGTTGAGTCACCTGTATCTCCTATGTGTTGGCCTTTTGTGTTGAATGGTATCCATAATATTGACTGGATTCTGAGGGAAGGATAATTGTGTAAGGCTGAATACAAAAAAAAAGAAAGATGTGTGTAAATACAAAAAGAAAGAAAAAAAATGTGTGTAGAGAGTGTTATAAACAAAGCTTATTGTTTAAAACTACATTGTATAATAGTTGACAGAAAGGTCTTTTATCAAAATGTCTGATTTTATAGGAAAAAAAAGACCACTTGTTTAATGCATTGCCTTTATGTATTTTGTTGAAATGAGTTTACATAGTGGTCACATCTGCTAGGACCTCTTTGGTTGAAAGTCAGAAATTCTCACCCAACTTACTTCTTAAAAGAAGGTGATTCATTTGTTAAAATATATTTAAACATATATAGTTAAAATCCAGAATTGATCTGGCATTTGTATACATGGCTGGATGTGGAAGTCAAAGGAATATATTCATGACATCGTCTCTATTCTGTCGTCTGTTGAGTTTCGCGTGATACCAAAATGGCAAC